TGTTCCCCCTGTTGTAATGCTAAAATGAAAACAAGCCTCCAGTCACTAGGTGGCAGCAACTCATACAGTGGTTTGTACAGATAAAAAATATACATGCTATCAAGATCAGCGGGGGTGCGTGGAAACATTACTGTACCCAAGGGGGAGGGGCTCGGGGGGAGGGGGGGAGGACAGAAAGTAATAGAGAACCACTGCATTAAAGGGTCAATATTTATGGCAACAGCATGTGAAATAAAACTAAATCTGAAGCTTTTGTCAGCAATAATATATGAAAAGGTTAAGAAAGGGGCAGGATGGAACATGGCTCGGAGTCAATAGTGTGTGAGAGAGGGAGAGAGAGAGAGAGAGAGAGAGGGAGGGAGGCGTGTGCTCCCTCTCGCTCCCATCACACACACACATACACACACACACAACACGGAGGAACTGAACGTACCGCACAGCAATTCAAGTGATGGCAGAGGTAATGAGCAGCCACTGGAGTCGAGTACTTCCCTAAATACCTCTCCACCATCCTGCTTTACCTTTTATACATTTCTGTTTATTCAAGGAAGGCTGTGTATCCCTGCTGCAGCGGTCAGATTATCTCATCATCTCAGCTCATCTCAGCTCAGTTCAGCTGCTGCTGCTGCGTGCACCAGAGCTGGATCCAGACGGTGAATGCGTAGAGAGAGGCAGGCAGAGCATCAGGGGAGACGGCGTGGTCTAAAGGGACAGAGAAGTGTCTGAAAGAGTTAAGATGAGTCTGAACGACGGTCAGTTTCTGGCCGGCGGTGGACAGGATTTGACCAGGAACACCAGCAGCAGTGGACCCCCCTGGGAAAACGCCGGGAAGGTTTTGAAGCCGTGCGTCCCTTCCAGGAAACCCAAGCCGGTGAGTACGACTGCAGTTTCTGTCCTGATGCAGCAGCGTCATATACAGGTGTTCTCCTTTATTTTTATACGACTCAAGAATGCAAGAGTTGTTTTTTTTTTTCCACAAATTTTAAGGGTTGTTGGCAGCAAAAATGTATCATAAAACTTAATTAATTAACCCAGCACTAAATTATGATGCTCTGATCTAACACACACATACACACATTTTCACTACATGAAGCTGCCACTCTGAAGACGACAGTCCAACGATGACTGACAGATGACAGAGGAGAGCTGAAAAAAAAATGGAATAATTTTGAGATTATCAATAACTACTGTGTCAGCTGACGCCTTCAGATCAATAAAAATACATTCCTCAAGTTGACATGGAGCAGACACAGGGTAAGGCTGGAAGCAGAGCTGACTATAGTACAATGACAGGAGTCTGATTTCAGCGACTGTGTGAGAACTGTGTGTTGATGTCGTCATTTATATTCCTGACATGGAGTAGTTAGTTCAAATTACAGAAATACAAAAGGAAACAACAACAGACTCTGGCAGGAAAGGATACAGTGGCGGGCAGGAAGTTATAAGAACCCCTGAGGGAAATGTGACAGAGCAAAGAGTTTAAGAAAGGAGACGATTGGAAAATTATTAGTTCAGTCTTTTTTTTTTATTTTTTATTACTGAGTGCTGCAGTCATTTAGTCATTAAGGATAGGCCCTTTATTCTTCAAATAAATTGATTTTTTTTTTTTAAAATTCTGACCAAATCCAATGATCCTTTAAAACACCATTGGTTTCTGTGGAACAAGTTCTTCCCACGTTCTGTTTCAACACCTGAATGTCACTTAGGCCAGTGTTCCCAACTTTTTTTCTGGGGACCCATATTTTAAAAGTCACAAACCTTCGTGACCAAAGTCAATAGTCATTATTCGTAAATTCCTGGGAAACGTGATGCGGGACGACCCCCCACCCAAAAAATCTCTTGTGACCCATCTGAGAATGGCGACCCAGTCTGTCAGAAACCATGACTTAGGCTATGTAGGGACCTGATGTTTTGATTTAATAGAGGGTTACAACCACAATTTTAAGGCGCATACTGCCCCCTACTGTACTAGATGACCAGTGACGTTTTGAACGTGACGCAGCCTACTTCTTATGCCTTGACATGCGATTTAAAAAAAAAAAAAATCTAAATTCATATGACTATATGTATATTTATATATTTTTTAAATGTTTTAATTAAATTAATTATTAGTATATTAGTATATTTCTGGGGGGCTGGTACGAATTAATTGGTTTTTAGCTGTTTTTAATGGGGAAAATGTCATTGAGATCTGAGTGGATCAACATATGGGTGCTGTTGTGGAACGGATTAAACTCGTATCTTTAAGTCCCACTGTACATATACAGTATATACAGTCATATATATATATATATATATATATATATATATATATATATATATATTCAGTATATTTATATATATAAATATATATATAAATATATCAAGGCAATCGTTAATATTTTATATCGCTAAAATAAAAGCTTGACCGTCCACAGGCTGCTGCATGTTGTCCCAGTCTCCAGAGCGTTAACAGGTGTCAGACGTTCAGTGTGTGAGGCTGTTTTATCAGAGTCTGACAGGGGACAGTGTTTCATGTCACCCACTCACTGCTCTCAGGCTGTGAGTGAAAACAGCAAAAATGATTTCTCAGAGCAATGATGTACAGCACGGAGACCAGGACCGACTTCACATTCGGGACTTTTAACTTCTCATGTCTCCTCCTTCAGCCCAAACCGGAGAGCGCCATCACTATTGCCGTGTCGGCTCGAGTCCTTTTCAACATGGAGAGGGAGCAGCAGATCTACGAGCAGCAGGGCATGGAAGACTACGTTAAATATCAGGTGGAGCATGAAACGGAGCCTTTTAGCCCTGGACCTGCCTTCTCCTTTGTCAAGGTTAGAGCCCCCCCACCGCCACCCCTTTTCACCCACCCACCCACACATTTAGTATACGTATACACATCCAATCAAGTGATTCGTGATTTGTAAACAACAGTGTTGTGCAGCTTCGTGACTCGTAGGCGGTCGGTGACTAATGCGGATTAAAACGTCAGCGCACTCCAACTGTATTCAACCTCAACCCCTGGAAAATGCTAATCTGTTTTACGGTACATTTACACGTGCAATTGGTAACCTGTAAGCAATTTGCCTCCACACAGGCAACCTGGACATGTTCTGGACACTGCACGTCACGTGCACGTTCTCCCTGCACGACTGTTTTATTTTTGTTTATGTTTTTAATTGTTTTTTTGTTTTGCTTTTTCATAGCTAGTTTTTAGTCTAATTTGCTAGTTTATTTATTCACACCACTGTCCTTGAATTGTTCCATTTCATGTTTGAGATGTTTCCTTTGAATCCTTGAGATCCTTGAAGTATTTGAATTAATTGACTTCTGTTTTTTTTTTGTGTGTGTGTTTGTTTTGGTTATTTCCTGTAGGCCCTGGAGGCTGTAAACACCCGACTGAGGGAGTTGTACCCTGAGAGCGACGAGCTCTTTGACGTTGTGCTCATGACCAACAACCACGCATATGTTGGCCTGAGACTCATCAATACAATAAACCACCACAGTGAGTTTGTCTCAGTCACTCAGTCAGTACTGAATGTTGGGTCGACGCTTTAGAGCCCAATCATTAAATTGGTGTTTTTGCTCAAACTGGAAATGTCTTATTGTCTGATTTAAATACTATATATGTATATATATGTGTGTATATGTATGTATATATGTAAATACATTTGTTTATTTATTTATAAAACACATTTCATATATGTGTATGTGTATATATACACATATATTTATAAATATATGTATATACATATATTTATATACGTCTATACAGTACGTATATACATATATACATATGTATATATGTATATACGTATGTACACATATATACATATATAAATATATGTATATACATATATTTATATATGTATATATGTAAATACATTTGTTTATTTATTTATAAAACACATTATCTTCGTCTTACACTGGAATTCTTCCAGCATCTGTGGGGTGAGGACAGAATTCTGGACCTTTGACTGATGTCCACACTGTCATAGGGACACAATAGGAGAAAAATCCTCTGCTAGCCTGGGCGGTCCAGAATGCGGTTTTTATAGTGTAGTATTTAGCATGCCTGCCTTGCAAGTAGAGAGCAGTAAGTTCTGGGGTCGATTCCCAGAGCAATCGCTAACGGCGCCTCCCGTGTGGCAGCTCGTATCGATTACACACTGTAAATTTCCCCGTTGTGCTACGAACAGTGGACTCACTTATTCATTATTAATTATCAAATAGAGAGCATCTGGAGAAAACTCATGCACACATGGAGAGAACATGCACAATTCCACTGGTGGACTACAAGCTTTTAGCGGGTTCTGCGATCGATAACTGTGCCGTTAACTAAAATAGTAATGAGGAAACAGCAAATGCACGTAGAACACTGGAAACTGCACCTGTTTTTTTTTTCGGTGGATTTTGACCATAAATATCATCCAGTTAAAAATGCAGTTGAACAAGTGGATGTGAAAAAACAGAGTGTGCTGGACCTTTAGAGCTTCTTTCCTCCAGTGCTCTTCATTCCCACACTTTGGGTCACATTATGACCCAGTTTCCCCTCCTAAGGTCAGATATTCACAGACATTATCTGTGGTCAACACTGTATAAAAAAAAGACGGACAGAACAGACGGACAGTCAAATACAGAAGAAGCAAAGACGTTTTTGCTCCTGATCTACTGGAGCTGTTTTGTGTTCGTTGACAAGCTCTCTGTTCAGACAGATTTTCACTTCACTCTAAAACAAAACGCTGTTCTTCTCGTCCCTGAGGTTTAACGCACGCTGCCAAGTTCACGCTGGTTGTGCATTTCCCACGCATCATAAATGTTCGAAACCCAAGGGATTGGAAGAAGGTGGGAAACAAATTTACCGAAAAAAACTTAATTAAAAGTTAAAATTAGGCAAATAATAATATTAATCTTTCTAAAATAGCAATTAGAAAGCTAGTTAGCCAAGAGATAACGGAAACAAAAATGTATATATAGTTCAAGTTCAGCACGAATAGCAAAAAAACAAACAAAACAGTCACCACAGTAAGCCGAGAAAATAGCACAAAAGATTCACATAATACCAAAATTATACCACCTTAAGTGCCACCTTAAAATATAAAATAAAACTGTGGCTAAAGTGTTGATTAAAACAGCTGGCTGTACAAATGCTAAAGAATTAGCAGAAATATTGCTACAAATTAACCGTAAAGTAAAGTAAAAGCTGCATAAATTAAAATACAAAAGATATATTTGTTGATGACTGAATATTGGCCCAAAAATTGGAAATTGAAGTTGAGCCCCGCCCCACTCCCTCAGATAACAAATGTAAATTCAAAACAACAAAATTTTATTGTAAGAAATATATATACTAAATAAAAAAAATATATGTAACATATATAATATATAATTTATGCCCAATAATTTGGGCATAAATGAACAAAATACATAGTATAAAATTTATATATAAATAAACTATGATTGCAGCAAAAACTGTGGGGAAAAAAATTAAGTACCAGCTAGCAGAAAATATTAGCTTTGACTAATACCTGGTTACATATCACCAGCTAATAGAGCACTAGGTTTATAAAAATACAGAGGCCCACAAGGTGGTGCAGCACTATATGAAGCTATAACATTACTTAATTAAGCTAATACTGAAACTTTAAATTTCTTTAACTGTAAACAAACTCTGTTTTTGTACCAAACTAGAATACTACAGTACCTGTATGGTAATCTGAAACCATTTTGTTGCAGGATTGTTCATCGAGCGTTTCTGCATGACGGGGGGCAACAGTCCAATCGGCTACTTGAAGGCCTACCACACCAACCTGTACCTGTCTGCTGACTCAGGGAAGGTTCGAGAAGCTTTAGAGGAAGGTCAGTAGAACAAGACGTTAGAAATGGGATGGCAGTTTGTAGTGTTTTTTTTTTTTTTCTAGTGCGTCGAAAGCTGAAAAGAGGAGCAGTCAGACCCTATACCAAATTATCCAGGGCCCTGCACTGGCCCCTGACCCAGGGGTTGGCTGTCTTAAAACAATCACCATTGACAGCTAATGTTCATTTCCTTAAATTCCCAACGTGGTTATTGTCTTGTGTGACAAAACGGACAAAACATCTGACCTTCAACACCCGTCCCTCTGTGTATGAACCAGGTATAGCAGCAGCTACTATGTTCACTCCAGGGAAGATGACGGAAGTGTCGGAGACGCAGCTGCGCGTGGCTTTTGATGGCGACGCCGTGCTCTTCTCCGATGAGTCCGAACGCATCTACAAGGCCCACGGTCTGGAGAAGTTCTTTGAGCACGAGAAGGCCCATGAGAACAAACTGCTGGACCATGTAGGCCACACACTCACTGACATCATCTTCCAGCTCATGGAGATGATGACTGAATTGTTCTGGATCGATTGATATGTAGGAATTTTGTGGAGATTTTATTTATTTGGTCCAATGCCAGGACCAAGTGTAAAAATTGAGTTTATATTTTTTTGTTCATTCTGCTCTAAAATAAAGCTATAATTAAATTTTAGTTATTTAAAGGGCTATTTCAGCTTTTGTTAATTGACAATAATTTGATTAACTTAAAGCTATCGCTGAACTGTTTTCAATGTATTCAGTATTTTCTTGAAGCTTTTTTAAGCTAACTGCTATTGGCTAATTCTAGCAACGATTTTTCTATCTGTTGCTGCCTTTAAGGTAGAACTTTATGAATCCTTTGGGAGTTCCCTTTGGGGAAATTAAGACTGCAGCAGCACCATAAAAAACCCAATAGTCATGTGGGTCAATTTGTCAAAGGTTTACCTTTTTTTATTCCAGCAAGACTTGGACTGGTGTCTTTTATCTAATTTTTCTCACTCATTTTCAAACATTTTTTTTTTGGGATAAATATTAGTACCAACCTTTTTTAGCTCTCATTTTGTACTGTAATTTTTTTGCTAGGATGTTAACTTATTATTATTATTTTATTATAATTATTATTAATAACAAATTAACAATAATAAATAATAATTGATTTGTTATTTGTTTTGTAATACAAATTAACAGTAATAAATAATAATAATTGATTTGTTATTTGTTTTGCTAACCTTTGTTGTTTTTTTTGACAACATTTTTGGAGCTATTTTTTACCCTTTATTGATTAACGTCTTGTTTTATTTTAGGAATGCCACTTAAAATGTTCCTCTCGCAGTCAGTTATATTTTTACTTTTATATATATAGTTTTTTTACTTTGTTGTTTTCATGTGTCAAACCTACTGCTGCTCTCATCTTTTCTTCTTCTTCCCTGTAGGGGCCGCTGAAGGGCTTCCTGGAGGCACTGGGCAAACTGCAGAAGAAGTTTTACGGTAAAGGTCAGCGTATGAACTGCCCCATCAGAACCTACCTGGTGACGGCCCGCAGCGCAGCCAGCTCCGGAACCAGAGCCCTGAGAACCCTGCGCTCCTGGGGCCTGGAGATCGACGAGGCCTTGTTTCTGGCTGGAGCGCCCAAAGGCCCGATGCTGGAGAAGATTAGGCCGCACATCTTCTTTGATGACCAGATGTTCCATGTGGAGGGGGCCGCAGAACTGGGCACAGTTGCATGTCATGTTCCGTACGGCGTCGCTCAGAGAATAGCCAAGAGAGAAGTACTGGACAAAGAGACGCTCTCTGCGCCCAAGTAGCCTGGATGTGGCACTGCAGACGGCAGGACTACAGGCAGGTGATGACTATGGTAAACATGTCACAGAGTCTAAATGTGTAATGGAGGGAGGAGCTTTATGACCAGTGCTAATATGAAGCATGTCTTATACATACAAGTTTTTGCATTCACAAAAATGTACGGCTTAATTTATTAATTTAGTTTTCCACCACTACAACAGCAGCATTTCTGGTTTAATATTTACCTCAGTTCAGTCTGGTCATGGTCGGGGATGTAGCGATTCACTCAACCCAGGATTTTTTGTCAACTAAAACTGTTCTCTTCAATAACAGAACTGAAAAAAAAAAAATCACATTTCTGTCTTGAAACACTGCACGTCACCATTGATCCATTCTGATTCAAAGTCAAACTGGTCTGGTCTGATTGGCCTGGTTAACTGTCAGTATATGAAACAACAACAGAATGTAAACAAAGAGGAACTGGAAAGAGTTCCTTTCTTTACAGGAACACTGTAGCACAGTGGTTCTCCAACTTTTTATCCTCTGTACCACCTGAGAAAACCTTGACCTCTCTGAGTACCACCATGATGACCAACATTAGAATACAGCAGCGTAGGCCTTCACTGCTAGCTTCCACCACAGGAGAAATGTTTATAAATGTTTATGTTTAAATGTTGTATTAATTGTGCATGGTCCGTTTCAGATTTATTCAATTGAAAATGTAAATGTGAAAATCTGAATTTTCCCCACCTACCACTAGAGAGCGCTCGCGTACAACAGTTTGAGAACCACTGCTGTACAACACTGATGGTCTCTGTGGAACAAATTCATCCCACGTTCTGTTTCAGCACCTGAATGTCACTTAGCCTACCTGACCACTTGGTTTAATAGTGGATCACAACCAACATTTTTAGGTTGTGTGTTGTGCCACAGTATGACCAGTGAGTTTTTGTGATAACATAGCCTACTCGCCTACGGTCTTGACGCGTGAATTGTATTGATTTTTTACCGATTTATGATGCATCGCTACATCCCAAGTCATGATCGGGATCGAAGCCTTTGAGAAGGTAGTACGTTCTTATTCATAACACTAGGAGAGGTTAGGCCTCACATGTCAGTGTTAAATACACCAGCAGTATCAGCACCTCTTAAGTTTTGTCGCCTCCAGCTCCACCTGTCTGTCAGACACTGTCACTGTCTCCAAACAACACATCACCATAGGCTTCACCATCAACTTCTTGTCCTTTGATTTCCAAACTCAATAGCTAAAACAGTTTATTCGATGAACTCCCTTTTCCTCTATGTCCTCTGATATTTCAGAGCGTATGTATGTTTTGAACCTCAGGAGGTTTTTGTGTTTCAATTGGAAGTTTTTTTTTTTTCGTTCAAGCAACATTTGTCCTTGAAGGAGTCTCAGGCTACGCAGGAAAAATGATCCGGAGACATATTTTTAAAAAGGGCGTGTGTGGTTTTTGACGACACAAATGTTGACATTGATGAAATATTATAGCAGCTGGCTCAAATTCAGCCCCAAACCATTACAGAGCCTCAACCCTTTACACAAGGTTAAAAAAAGAGAGCAATAAAAGAGTCTCTTTTTTTCTCACTGATCTGTGCATTTTGTATAATTTTTGTATAGTAACCTTTGCGTTCGTGCCATTTTTCATTAGGCTTCAGCATTCCACTAAACAAAGCCCGGATTTATTCATCGGATCCTGTGTTAGATCCTCACTAGAGTTTTTTTTTTGTTGTTGTTTTTTTCAAAGAAGTTGATTGCGATGTCCTGTTTACCTCACTAATTATCAAATTAAAACACGTATGCCGACATAAATGGTTGTGTATTTACACCACAGATTTCAGCCCACTGTATTTGAGGGCCAGGATCTTTCAGGGTAAAACATAAAAA